AAATTAATTAGAATTCCACTCTTTGGTGGCTTATTTGTTGCTCATCAACTATCCATTCTCCTTATATATACTCTCAACTGTAACATAAATGATTATAACTATTTTATTTTTTTAAATTCCTGATATCTTATAAAATTAGTGAAAGAAATTATTTTCTCTGGATACAATTGTTATTATTTGTTTTTGCTCTCTTAGGGGGCCCACCATGCAGCTCTCAAATAAATTACACATGAAGGCTTATTCTTAATTATAAATGCTCGGCCTTAGCTTGACTTGTTTCTTGCCAACTTTTCTTAACTTTAAATTATCACCTCTACATTTTGCCTCTAGGCATTTTCCTTTTCTTACTTCTGTATGTCTTACTTTTATTCTTACTCTGTGGCTTGCTGTGTGGCTGTGTGGCTGGCTCCTAGCATCCTTCTCTCCTTGTTCTCTTGCTCTTTCTTTTTTTCCTTCCAGATTTCTCCTTTTATTTATTCTCTCTGCCTGCCAGCCCCACCTCTCCTTTCTCCTGCCTCGCTATTGGCTATTCAGCTCTTCATTAGACCATCGGGTGTTTTAGACAGGCACAATAACACAGCTTCACAGAGTTAAGCAAATGCAACATGAACAAAAGTAACACACCTTAAAATAATATTCTACAACACACAATTGTGCATACTCCTGAGTGAAAGATTTTAACACACTTCATTTCAAGCATGTGGAGATCATGCTTCTCAACAAATGGTGCTAAATAGCTAGGCATTCATACACAAAATTATGAATGTAAGCTCCTTGCTGTTACCACAATAAAAAATTAACTCAACTGGGCAGTGGTGGTGCACATCTTTAGTCTCAGCACTCAGGAGGCAGAGGCAGGTGGATCTCTGTGAGTTCGAGGCCAGCCTGGTCTACCAGTGAGTTCCAGGACAGCTAGGGCTGTTACACAGTGAAACCCTGTCTCGAAAACCAATTAAAAAATAATACATTTTCAGTTGTTTCTGATAATACTGTGACAAAGAGGGTATAACTTAATTTTACTAAGTTTCTAGACTAGCATATAAGACAATGACTTTATTTTATGGCATCTACATACACTCTGTCTCCCTGCCCCACCCTCGCTGCCCCACCCCACGCAACAGTCCCTTTCTGTGTTCATGTTCCATGCATTCCAGTCCCAGAGGGTACAATTCAAATACTCATGCCCGAGTTTGCTCTCTTCCGCTCTGCACAATCGTCTCCAGGGGAACCTGCACCTAGGGAACTTTCCAATTTTAGGAGGACTTAATTTTTACACATGTTCTCACATCTTATATATCCGCTTAAACAGACTGAACTCTGGGTAAGATGGTCTTCCTGGAAAAGCACAGACACTCCCTGGGAGCGCCCACCCTAGGGGAAGCACAAGAGGGCACAACAAGGACAGGAGAGAGGGGGCACATGGCCCGACGGGCCCAGCCTGGAGCTGCTCCTTGTGTCATGGGTCTATTGCTTCCTTGCTTGCTCTAATGCATCTCTGCGGCCTATTGCTTCCTTGCTTGCTCTAATGCATCTCTGCGGCCTATTGCTTCCTTGCTTGCTCTAATGCAACCCTGCTGCTTGTTCATCGCCGTGTCCCATCTGGACTCTTCTCTTCCAGGAGCTCAAGGGCCACGACTACTGCTAGGGTAGAGACGAGAAGAAACGCCAGCCCCCTCCATGACATGCCTATAGATGGATTTTCCTCCCTAATTTCAAGACCTCATGGACTCCAGGATACCCCTGATTTTCCTTCAAAGTTGGTCTTGTTTATTTTCTATTAGACATGGGGTTTTAAGGTTTGTCCATATCAGTGGTATTTTGGAGACATGATATTTAATCCAAATTTCAAATATCTTTCCCACTGTTAGACTAAGAATCTTATTTTTCTGTTGCTTACTATACACATACCCCAAGATAATGCTATAAAGCCAAAGGGGTGGCATCAATAGAAATGGGACCCTGTGTTTGTTCTTCCCACATAGTTATAATGGGAATGCAAATTGGGGATTTCTGTGGAAGTGTGGTCATTTTTAGTCTTGAGTCGCCAGAAGGAAGGGTGGAGATGGGAAATTGCTCTCTACCATTTAAATCTAGGATTGGGGTAAGGGTGTGTTAGTGGCAGAGCAGGCACACAGAAACCTTGGTGGGATTATTACATGCCGTAGCAGATACATAACACGTGCTGGTGCATCCATAAACATGGTCTTTAAAGAAATCCATTTTGGGGGCTGGAGAGATGGCTCAGCAGTTAAGAGCACTGGCTATTCTTCCAGAGGTCCTGAATTCAATTCCCAGCAACCACATGGTGGCTCACAACCATCTGTAATGAGATCTGACATGCAGACAGAACACTGTATACATAATAAATAAATAAATCTTTAAAAAAAAAAAAAAGAACTCCATTTTGAGCCAGGTGTGGTGGCACACACCTTTAATCCCAGCACTCAGGAAGCAGAGGCAGGCAGATCTCTGTGAGTTCAAGGCCATCCTGGTCTATAAAGAGAGTTCCAGGACAGCCAGGGCTGTTACACAGAGAAACTCTGTCTAGAAAACAAACAAACAAACAAAAGAATGCACTGTGTAGTTTGATAAACAGGTCATAATGAAGTGCTAACGGAGAAGCCCACAGTTACCACTTACTTTCATAGGTTATTCCTAACATGACCCATGAGGCAATATAATTGAAGTACAGAAGCTGCTCCATAACAAAGGTATTCTCCTCTTCATTTCGAATACTCAGAATATGTGCTTTTGAATCTGTCAAAACAAGAAGGCCAGTTTGAACAATTCCTGTGTACAGAATCCTTTGTCTTCCCTGAGAGAGTCAGGCACCCTCCTTCCCAGACCTATCTGCACCGAAACGGCCATCAGCTGGCGGAGCTGACAGGCTGTGCCGCGGTCAGACATTCTGATGGGCACCCGGCCCCACAGGACACGGGGATCTGGTAGCTGAGCTGAGAACTTAAGACGCCCACTTCTCTTTCCCTTCACTTAAAGCTCACTTTCTGAAGGGCACAAATCCACACAGCATTAATGGGGTGCTGCTAATAACTACCCTGTGACAAAACTTCTCTAGTGTGATTTTAAATTAAAATAAAATTATACCATTTCCCCCTCAGCTCATAAGACAGGCCTGCCTCTTCCTCAGACACCACTGCTACATTAGGGTTAAAGGTGGCTAGTGTTTCCCAAATGTGTTGTGCAGAAAAAAACCAGGGGGCCTCTCAGCAAAAGTACACATGGATAAAACATCTGGAAACACTGATACAAAAAAGGTTAGTCTAGTTCATTTATGACAGTATTTCTTTTTTAAAATTGCTGTTCTTCTTTTATTTTTTATTATTAAAAATAGATTATTTTTCTTCATACAATACATCTTGATTATGGTTTCCTCTCCCTCTATGCTCCCAAGTTCCTCCCCATCCCTCCCCCCATCTGGATACACCTCTTCTTCGGTCCCTCATTAGAAAACAAACAGGCATCTAAGGGATAATAATAAAATAAAGCAAAATAAGATAAAACAAAAACAAACAGAAGGAAAAGAACCCAAGAAAAGGCACAAGAAACAGATATAGATGCAGAGACTCCCTCATGCACATGCTCAGGAATCCCCAAGAAAAACAAGACCAGAAGCCATAATATATATACAAAAGGCCTGTGGGGTAAAAAGTAAAATAAATAAAATTAAAAGATAAATAAACAGTAATTAAAAAAAGAATAAAAAGAAAAAGCCTTGCCATGACATTATGAGACAAAGAACCTCCAAAGATGCTACTGAGTGTGTTCACGGCTGGCCTGCCTTGGGCACACAGTCCACCCTTAGAGTAGCTTGTTTCCTGGTGAGACTCTGAAGGGACACTAGCCCACAAGGCATGTGGCTCTGGCAGGCCTTGTCCTCTTCCCTGTTCCCCCTGCCTTGATAAAAACCATTAGATTACATCCCTAAAGCTAGCCACTTATTTGACTACCAAGGTCTAGCTATCATAAAGGGCCGTTTGCCCATGAGCCACGTCTGTCTCCTTTCGAGAGGCAGTCCTTTGTCTCCTGGGGACAAATACTCCTGCCCCCTTTCTCTTGTTCCCTTCCCCTCTCTCTGGTCCCATCTCCTTTCTAGCCCACTCTAGTACAGACCTCCCCTTTTTCTCCTCTTAAAAATGACACCTGCAAGGGCATTTGCTGCTGTGTTCTGTCAGAGTCAGAAAGCAGCCACTTTAACTTTTCTTCTCTGCTTAATAAAGGATCTCTCTGTGAAAACAGGAGTTTGGGTGTGCTTTGTGCCTAATCCAGGGTCCAGGAGGGAGCCCCTGCTGTGCAGGGTGGGGTTGGGGGTTCAGACTCCTTTGGAGAAAACTAAATTTTCATTTGCACGTGGTTATCAATTGGACGTAGCTTCTTGGTAGTGGGTGGGGGCACGTGTCCACTTCTTTCAGCTCTAGGATCCCATCAGGCCCTGTGCATGCCTTCAGTCTCTGTGACTTCATATACTATGCCAGTATTTCTTAAAGTTGTACTTTGATACAGAGGGTAAACAGTCTAGTGTTTCTCAACCTTTATTCTATCTTATTTTTTGTAGAACTTCTCTAAAAAGCCCGCTTCGGGGGATACTGACTTGATGCTTTCCATAGGAACTCTGCACAAAGTTCATAGTTCCTTCTGTTCCATCATTCAAAAGCTACAGACCCTCAGGGTTTAACCGGGAATTGCTCCAGGTCTGGAAAGCTCCACGTGCACAAGGTCAATCCCATCCCCTTGGACCTTGCCTCTGATGAGTGGTATAACCGAGCTGCTGGCCACACAGGGTGACCTAGCTGCCTCACGCCCAGTTCTCTGCTCTCTAGTGTGAAAATCAGGGGAGTCGGTCACCAGCACTACTTAGGAATCTCTATAACACGCGGCATCAAAAGTGAGCGTGTCCCAGCACACGAAGACAGCAGGATGGACTCACGCAGTTCCTGGCACATGGAGTGCACTTCCTTCTGTGTGACTGTCTTATGTCTATTCTTCGTTATCTCGAAATTGTAGCACGAGTTCCGAAATGCTATCCATGGAGTGTTCTGCACAGGAGACGGACACTTAGCGCTGTCTGATGGTTTGACCTCCTTTTCAGTCTCATCTAGAAAAGGAGTTAATGGTGAGAATTCTAATTTCAGATGTAAATGTTAAATCCTGTTCGCAGTCATTAGACTTGATTTGTGGGAAAGATGCAGGAAGCGAGGAAGTAACAGCCTGGCGAGGCTTGCTCTGTTTACACTCGAATATAGCATAAAATGCTGGCTTTCTGTGGGGAGGAAATTATTTGACATAATTTTCTTACCCCTGCTGCGGAGTGGAGGAATGTAAAAACGAGGTGCTTTTTAGGTCACATGAGATTCTGTCTTCCTGCATTATTAAATGTCAAGTACCAGGAGCCTCCCCAGAGGAACTCTATAAACATATTAATTAACAATAGGCATCTAACTAGAACTGTGTAATTCACTCTCACGTTTCTGCTTAACTGATATCTCTAATTTTAATGAAATAACTTAATGGAATAGTTATTCCCTTAACAAAAGTAAACAGAGATATCATTTAAAACATGGCCTCCAGAATATCTAATTTTTTTTTCATTTTATGAAAAAAGTCATATATTCTAGAAGATGCAAATATAGGTATGCAGAACTCAAAATAATTGAGAAAGATTTACTGTGTCCTAGAGACCACTGGGCATTTTTCTCCCATTTTGTGACAAATCCCTCGATCTCAGAAATAGTGTGTTCTTTCTCCCACAAGCGCACAAATGTGGGCCCCTGATTGGGCTGGAGATTGCATACCCAACTCAGGCTGAGCCTGACAGATGCTAAGAGATGGAAAAGTGGGATTCGGAAACCGTGCACTCACCTTTAGTGACAGGCAGAAGTGGAAGTTGGGGAGCAGTAGTGTTCCACTGCGTGCAGAGAGAGCAGAGTTCACAAGGGCAGAGCAAAGACACACAGAGAGAGGACAGGCACACACACATGTCTGGGTTTCTGTTTTCTTGTTGGTGTTGGGATTTTTTGTTTGCTTTAATTTTGCTTTTTGAGACAGGGTCTTACCATGTAGTTTTGGATGGCCTGGAGTTTGCTACGTAGACCAGGCTGGCCTCAAACTCACAGAGAGCTGCCTGCTTCAGGCTCCCGAGTGCTGGGTTTCTGAAATTCCTCCAGATGGGTTGAATTCTACCCTTGTTTGTAGGGTGGTGTTCGAAATTCCCTTTTGACTTAAGCTACCTTGACCAAGTTGGTGCTCCTTACAATCAACTGAGTGTTGTTTGTTTTTGAGACAGGGCCTTGCCTGTAGCCCAGGCTTGGCTTTGCCAATCTTTTGCTCTACCTCTGAGTGCTGGGATTAAAAGTATGTGCCACCATGCCTGGGAATTTCAACAGTGGCTTAAGATGTCAGTTGTTGGTGTTAAGAATTAATTAAGAGTTTCCAGCCTGGTGGTGGTGGTGCACGCCTTTAATCCCAGCACTCGGAGGCAGAGGCAGGCGGATCTCTGTGAGTTCGAGGCCAGCCTGGGTGCTGCAGAGTGAGTTCCAGGAAAGGTGCAAAGCTACTCAGAGAAACCGTGGCTCAAAACAAAACAACCCAACAAAAAAAGAGTTTCCATGAGTTAGTTTTGTAAATATATATGAATAAAAATGAGGCTGAGTGACAATGGGACTGTATATGCCAATCAACATTGTCAGCTGATATAAGAAAGACAAAATCCAAAATAAAAAATTAATTTCAAAACAATTTATAATCAATAATTCTTGAGTACAAATGTTTGCACCAAATTTCTGTTGAAAGAAAAAAATGACACGGTGGAGCTGGAGAAGGCTCAGGGTGAAGAGATGCCTGCTCCCCTAGAGGGCTCACTTTAGATTCCCAGCACCTCTGCGGCAGCTTACAACATCTGCAACTCCAGTTCCAGGGATCTGGCCGCCCCAGACACTAGGCCTGCTCACGGTGCCCAGACACACATAATGCCAATACACCCACACAGAAAATAAGATGATAAAAATACACTCTTAAAAAGGACACGGTTTCCTTCTAATCCCCACATAAGATTTTGCAAAACCAAGTGAATAAATTCCATGACATTTGAAATTTCCATACTTCCTGGATAGTAGCAAATGGCACCAGGTTGGTTATCATTACAGCCGGCTGTTTTCCAGAACCCATCCGTGTCTAGGATCACACAGTCATCAAGCTTCTCATTGTTGGCAGCCCAGTTACTAAAATGAAGACGTTTTCCATCTGACCAATCGAAGTTGAGCTCATCCTATGAGGTGCAGAAATTCATTTCAAAGAGACAATATTCACATTATCCCTCTCACATTATTTTAATTATTAGTTGTATTTTATATTGTGTTAAGCACTGTCTTAAATGCTTGGTAAATATTGACTTGTTTAATCTGCGTAACAGCCGTCGGAGGAGGGCACTGTTACCTCTCTTTAACAGAGCAGGGGACTGAGAGTGAGTACAGTGCTGGGACCCCAGTTCTGGCTCTCAGACTCTGTGGTCCTAACTATCATGCTCTGCTGTCCCCAGGTCATAAGAACTGTTGGTGGAAACCAGAAAGCTAAGATGGAGTGAGGACCACTGTTTGCCCCGGATATGATGGAGACAGCATGGCACACTAGAAAGAGCAGGAACCTGGCTGTGAACAGTAGTCCAATCCCGTACGAGCTTTTGATTTGTGAGCCTGGCCCTCCAAATTTCCAGACCCCCATCTGTGACGTGGCTGTAACACAAGACTAGTCAAGTGTGAATGCTCATTTCCTGAGTCTCAGCTCAAGCCTGGGCAGCGCACACTGCTGTTTTCACACTGGTCTCTGGGGCAAAGCAGCTTCCTTTACAGTACGCGTATCAACCCGGAAGCCTCTAAATACTTGTCTGTAGCTCTTGACAGGGCCTGACCACCCGCTTGTCTCGAGAATGGCTTTATGTGGTTGACACGGGAGTTTCAGCAATAGCTATGAAGCTTCCCCTTGGTGCCACCAGGCGCTAGGTTTTAATGACCAATGCTGGCCCAACTGCACGATAGGGCAAAGCATTTCTGAGGCCCAGGGGAAGGTCACACACAGATTCCTTATTTCAGAAACAGTCAAATGCTACCAAATGCTACCAAATGCTTCATTATTTTGGTACTGCTAGGGGTTAAATCTAGGGCCTCCTGGCTGCTAGCAAAGACTCTATCAGTTAATTCCTATGCCACTGTGGGGCTTTAAACTTGCCCCTGGGGAGGCATTTTACCTATACTCTGGCCTACACTGTCCCGAATTCTTCCCCTCTGCCCCCAGCCCCTGCCAATGGCCTTTGAAGTTTCCTTCTACCACAGATTGCACTCCCTACCCACAATGAACGTGAAATCTCCTGATCAAGACTATAAATACCTAAACTTTCTAACATCTAAACTTTGATTGATCTTAATTTGAACTTGGCTTTTCCAAGCTAACAATCTGTTTTAGCTGCACAAGGGAAGCCTGTTCATTTGTTTTTGTCCTTAGATACCAAAGGACTGTAAGTGGAGGGCTGTGGGTATTACCTCCTTTGATGTCCCTTCACTTAGAGCAAACTTCCAGGATCCATGTCTCTCTCTGACAACTTACATGACGACTCATTCTTCCTGCTCCCTCCTGATATTCACTACAGTGTGGTGTGACCCTGCTGTGACCCTGCCGTGACCCAGCTCTGGATTTCATTTAACCCAGAATTGCTATACTTGAGATACAGTGGACATGCTTTATTTCAGGTCCACATCATTTCCTTTATACATGCACATGAAAACAACTGTCCCCACAGCTCCAGGCTCCATGCTGCTGCTGTTCTCACTACTTCCCTGGTGTCATGACACTTGAATAAAAGTCTTATATTATTTCTATTCTGCTTTTAAAAATTCAATTGTCTTCAATATACACTGTTGCATCTTCACATCCTGTCATGTTCTGAAGATCAAAGGCAGCTTATGAAGACACACTAGCTACACAGGATATGTAAAGTGAAGGGAGAAGGGAAAAGAGAAGCACAGGTCAAGACTGAAAACACAAGAGAGGCTAGCAGGATGGTTCAGTGGGTAGAGCAAACCATTCAAAGGTGGAAGGAAAGAACAGATTCCACCAAGTTGTCCTCTGATCTCCACATGTGTGCCGCCATCTCTCTCTCTCTCTCTCTCTCTCTCTCTCTCTCTCTTTCTCTCTCTCTCTCTCTCTCTCTCTCACACACACACACACACACACACACACACACACACACAAACACGATGATGATGATGATGATGATGATGATAGAGAACAGAGTAAGGGAAAATACCAAAATCATTAAGTGGGAAATGAGGACAGTTATGAGACATGACTCCAACTGCTTTAAAAACAAGTCCGTAAATATAGTAACTCAAGAACACACAGCAAAATACTAGCCTACAGGTAAACTTCTGATAATTTAGTAACAGTGACTTTTTCATTAAATAGTGGGAATCTTGCTCCGTAGCTTGGGCTGGTCTGGAATTCATCCAAGAGTCCAGGCTGGCCCTGGGCTTATGACAATCCTCCTGCTTCAGCCTCCTAAGTGTTGAGATTACAGGAATGGAGCCACCATACCTCGTTAACAGAGATTTTAATACAAGTGGTTTTAATTTTCATTCTTTTAATTTATTATAGTCTAAATTTTAAAATCATATATGCATGTGTGTGTATGATGTACATGTGTCAGTGTGTGTGATTTGTGTGTGTGTGATGTGCATGTGTCTGTGTTTGTGTATCTGTGCACAGACTGGCACACATGTGCCACGGTTTGGGTGTGAAGTCTAAGGTCAGCCTGAGGTGCCAGTCTTTGCCTTTTATCTCATCTAGGACAGGGTCTCTTATTTGCCTGTATGGTTTAACGTCTTTGTGCTAACTCTGAAAGGGACAGAAAACTCTCAACATTTGCTCCACAGCCAACCCTACTGGAGTTGTAAACTCTTCCCTCCTCATCTTTGGTGGAAGAGACCTGACAGCTTCTGATTCTAGCTCAGTCAACGAAGATAAATAAAAAGAAGTGCTCAGTGAGTCACACACACTAGGTTTTTAAAAACCCCAATCTTGCACTTTATGTCAAAAATTAATTGGCCTAAAAATAGACACTCATGGAATTAACCGAGTAAGGCTTTACAATGTCGCTTTCTCTTGGTCTACGAGAGGAGCTGATGGGCGGGATGGAGAACTTACATCTTGGCTGGAGAGTCCGATCCAGAAGGAGGAGTTGCGCAGGCTGGCGTGCACGGACAGGAAGGCCTGCTGGTACGGGTCGGTGATGCTCACCAGCCGCATGTTCTCCTTCAGACACTCCTTCAGAGCGCCGTGCCAAGTCAGAGGCTTCGAGATGATTTTGTACAGGTTATTTAGATATTTTACAGTTTCCGAGTTCGTCTCCCAGGGCTGTCCATCTTCAGTGTCTATTGTAAAAGAAAACAATCTAACGACAGTTCCTCCCACACTCTGTGCTACGCCGTAGAGGGCTGTCAGATTTCCAGATTTCATTTTAGTTTACTTCAGACATCACTTGCCTATGTACTTCAGAATTCTGTTGAGAGGTTAAGCTATATCTTGCTGAATGGCTTGGGTAAAATGTATGACTTGCAACTTCCTAAAATCAGGATGTTCTCGTTTGGAGAGAGAAAAGCTCCCCATAAAAGTCTCCTGCACTAAGATTATCACACCTCCTTTGTGTTAACTGCTTTGCCAGGAAAGGTATTTAAAAGTTTCCCCTTACAACATCTTGGTCACCTCCACTGCTCCAAAGGTCAGGGACCCTCTCTAAAGAGGGGACAGGAAGATTGTAAGAGCCAGAGGTTGGGCTGGGCTGGAATGGAACAGTGTCTTTGGGACATGGCAGGCCTGCTGCGCTTCTAAACGCCCAGTGGCTAGGGTACCTGGAGGAGACCTGCACAAGAGCAAGCTGCTCCACTGTGAGCACGGACTGGGAAGTGGTTCCCAAGCCGCAACCGAAGCCTATGGAGAGCTGGTGAGGTCTGTGGAGGACAGGCAGTGTTCTTTAAGAGTGTGGCGCCTGGTAGGTTGACCAGGCTCCAGCTGATGGTCCCATAGCTAGGACTACAGAAGCAGCACAGCCTGGACTCCACGCGCTAAGTAAGAAACAAAACAAAGGAGGCGGAGTTTGGGAAGGGGAGGTAAGGATGGCTGTGGAAGGAGTGAGGGGGAGAAATTCCTGTGCGCACGCGGTGTGAACAGAACCTGAATGCATTGTTGATAAAATTCTCAAAGAACCAATAAAACTAATTTTTAAAAGTGTCCCCTTATGGAGGCCAAAATCTTTTTAGATTATGGATGAGCCTATAGAAAAATGTCTGTCGTAAATCAAACAGTGAAAGGAAAGATGAATAGGAATCTCACTTACACAGCTTAAGTAAAACACAGCTCTCTGAACAGATGAAGATAGGTCTCTTCTGTATCCCAGAATCTAATCAATATTTATATGTATGATTCAGCTATCATTTGGCTTAAAAGGGCTGATTGGGAAATGTTATCATTTATACTATTTTCTACAGAGAAAATATTTTACTGTTTAAAATAACCCTGGACTTTTAAATTATAACCTGTTTTTATGTTAAAAAAAAAAGTTAACTTCTTTTTCCCACTGGATATATCAGCTGATTGAATAAAGTGACATTAAAAAAAAGTGTCCCCTTATAAAGTTCTCAACTGGAAAAACTTTGCAGAGTCACTGTTACCGCCTTAGGGTTGTTATCTGAACAAGGAAGTCATTAGAGAGGGCGGGACAAAAGGGCAAAGATTAATTTAACAAGAAAAGATTTGCATGAAATATGTGCTTAAGGTTCTCATTATGTAGCAAGAACTTCCACTTAAACATTTGTTAAAAACTTATCATGGTCAACAAAAATAATGCAATATATTTTAAAAAAACCAGGTGGTTTCTATTTAATTTTTTCCCCTCTTACTTTGTAGCCCTGTCTGTCCTGGAACTCACTATGTAAATCAAGCTGGCCTTGAACTTACAGAGATTCATTTGCCTCTGCCTCTCAAGTGCTGGGACTAGAGGAGTATGCCACCTCGTCCAGCGTGGGTGGTTTCTACTTTTGAAGTACATATTTTACCTTATTTTGACTATGGGAAGACACAGACAGCTTTACATAGTGTTTCCTCTAATTTCTGTAAGTTAAAAATAATAGTAAGTGTTTGTACAGTACCGAACTTTTCTCAGATAAAAACTAAAATCTGCGAAGTATCTGAGTAGAAAGAACATTCAACTATAGCTTACTAGAATATTGAGTTATGACTTTCATTAGATAATTATTAACATGTGCCACCATAGATTTAATTTTTATATTTAACTGTGGTAATAATACTTGAAAAAAATCACAGTCTATAAGAGATAATCTGCCCCACTGTGTCAATATGAACTTGTCTATGCTAAAAATGTAAGCTACATAACTATCAAATATATGAATTCACTTGTAAGACTTTAACAAGGAACCCTAACAGCATGTATCTAACGGCGTAAAGCACAGCAGACATCTCGGGGACAGTTAGTACCTGAGTACTTCTGACAGAGAGACAGAGAATGGCGTTCGGAGCAGGAAGTAAAATTCCAGGTCCCAGTCAGCGGTGACTTTTTGAGATTGAGAATCAGGGCACAGTGGTAGTGAGACTCTTCATCAAAGAACTAAAAAAAAAAAATATTAGTACAGTTATGGGGCTAATAGTCTGAAGATCCTTGCAAGAAAATTTTGCATCTTAAATTAGTGTTTCTTCTTCCCCCTACATACCAACAAATTAACCGAAGCCAAGACATCATCAGTGGCGACTGGCGACTAGGCACCTGCCTTAAAGAGCCGGACACAGATCCCCACTCTCTCTCTGTTCCCTCTCTGCTCGGCTCCCACCATCTCCTCTCTTTCTCTCCCCCGCTTTTCCCTGCTAATAAAGCTCTAAAACTAGCACTGGGTTCTGTTGTGACTGTGACCTTTCCATGCGGTAACCAGCGCTGCAACCAGAACTATTGTTCTCGATTTAGTGATTTATGGGAGACTCAAGTGTTTCCCACACTAAATAGATGATTGAAACATAACTCACATTTGCTGGTATACTCAGCCTCCGACCAACCAGCAATGGGTGAAAATTACTGTAGGTCAGGTCTCTGCCATCTGTCCACTTGTTTATTCTATCGTAGGCACTCCAGCGCAGACCAATCCACAAACTAGTTTGCATTTCCGGAAGCAAGGATGTAATAAAATCTGTTCAAAAGAAATTTTTGGAAAAGCAGTTAGGGCCAGAGAGATAGAAAGCTGAGTTGGATTTTCAGAACCCACATGGTGGGAAGGACGAACACGTTCTTTCCTGAATGTTGTTCTCTGATCTTCACATGCATGCGTATGAGCGCGTGCATGTGTACACACACACACACACACACACACACACACCGCATATACACCACACACACACATTGCATATACACCACATACACACCACACACACACCAGAAATACACATATCTCCACACATACATCACATACACACATAGATCACACACACACACACACACACACACACACACACACACACACACACACACACCATATATACACCACACACTCACACATACATACATACACACACACACACACACCACACCATACCACACATAAATAAAACACAAAAACAGTAGAAAAGCATTTGGATTATCTATCAAGATAGCCTTTTACCTTTTCTATGGAAAAAGAGTTTAATTATATGATTTTATTTTAATTCCCCACAGCCTCCTAAAACTAACTTGGCTCCCAACCCATACTAAAACAAGGTTCTCAGCATGCAGCACTTGCTCAGCTGTGCTGGGGCCCTGTGTTTGATCCCCAGCATTCCAAAAA